TTTTCTTATGACGCTAATGTATGTATTATTATTCCGATTTTGGTAAAGTCGGTCATTTTTGCTAGGTGAGTGTACTTCGCGATTGGGTTTTTTTTATATAAAATTAATTTTTATAGGTTTTTTTTTTGATTTTCCTAAGTTCCTGCGAGTGAAAGAACAAGATGACGAGTTTTCACTTACAAGCATGTTTGGCTGCGGCAACGATTGGAGTAAGACGCACTACAAAAAGAAGTAAATCGACGAGATCTGAAAAGGAAAAGCAAAGAAAATCAACAAATTATATAGTGTTGGCCCGACAACAATAATCCCTGTAAAGATATAACCCTCGAATACACCCTCACTATCCCAAATTTCTACACTGACTCTAATTAAACCATCGCCATCTAACCTTGACCTGTCGGGATTCTTGATAGGCAAGATTACGTATTCATGAATGTCGGGTTTTGTGTGTGTCGAGATTATGATGTCTTCTTATGGTTGTCGGGATTTTGTGACAACCTTATATAATACGAAAAGCAAATTTGTAAATTTGAAGTTTGATATTGTAATTAATTATAACTTTATTTATTTAAGAATAGCAAAGATCTTAAACTACAGTGCTTCCTTAATTTAATGTCAATGCTCTGTACAATCAGGTACATCTTATTTTGTTGTTTTTACTTTTTTATTGCAAAAGCAGCTTAATAAATCAATTTTGATAATGGTTAAATCTCTATTTTTGTATGAAAATTTTTAAAAGTTTTTGATGTTTGATAACGATCTTTTTTTTTTTGTCGTTTTGTTTTAAGTCGATAGAAAATATGAAAGAATTTCATAAAAAAAAAATAATTAATTTAATAAATGTCCCAATGGGAATTAATTTTTTTTAAAAAAAATGAAGAATCGTGTTTTGATTTCTGAAAAAACATCCATTAGTTACTTGTCAATTTACTGAATCATCCTAATCATAAATGAAGTTCGAGTTCGAGTTCGAGTTCGGTATATTATTGTTTACAGCTTAATTCGTTGGTGTTCCGGTTTGTCAATTTACGAAAAATCATGAAACAGATTATGGCAACCATCTAAGGATTTATTAATCATTAAAAAAAAAAATTTTTTTTAAACGATTTTGACTGCAAGATTACAAATTAAGTGAAATCTTGCACGTGATGAATGCATTATACCAGTTACAAACTTTTGATGAATTTTCTGATCATGGAAGTTTGATTCACTTGAATATTTTCTATTACGTTCGTTTTCGTAATAATTGCATTTAATTTAACTATTTGAATACATATTCTTCAGATGTACTAGTCCTCGTAAAATTTCTATAGCTGAATAAATTGGAGGATGACCACTCATATGGGTAACCCAACATTGTAAACGTCTCTCTTTTCGTTAAGTTTAAATTGTGGTGATGTATTGTCATTTCTGCGTTTGTTAAATAATTTTGGGTCAACATAAGGAATTGCTCCAAAAACTTTTTTACTAATTAGTTACCGCAACAATTCTTTTCGATTATCCAAAGTCAGCGAGTTTAATAATATCTTGATGAAATAATATATTGTCAGAATGCTATGATAATAAATAATAATTGATCATAACATTACTAAATTACGATGCACAATTCCTTCTTCATTTAAAATGATACAATATTCAAATAATTTTAGGTGCCACCACCATCAGCATATTTCATAATTTTCTAAAAAAAAAAAAAAAAAAACAAATTATGATCACCATTAACCTCACGAACTAGTTCTTTTAAGATTTGAAATAATTATACTTACAAAAATCATGTAGGAATCATATTTTCGAGCTTGCTCGAATTGTTGTTATATTGTTCTCAAAAAAAATAAATATTTCTGGAGCATTTCTTTCAACAGAGCAAAGCTCCCACTCCAGAAATGATGTTTCTTAGGTTTGTTAAGTTTGTTTAATTGAATGCATAACGATAATATAAAAAAAAAAAAAAAATTTACCATTTTTCATTTTGAACTAATCCAGAAGAACGAATTCTGGTTAGGAATCGCCATAGGAGAAAGGTAAATTTATATTTTATTTAAATTAAAATAAAAATAAAAATAAAAATATTCCATTTCTATTAGGTAGATACTTCAAAAATTTTCTTTGATCAAAATAAAAAAAAAAAGCGAGATTTTATATTCCATTACGAGTTTAGCCGTCTTGAAAATTTGCAAGAAGACTTGTAAAGCTAGTGGTAATGCATGCATTGAGTTGAGTATATCTTTATACCATATTTTATTTTCGAATTCCTTTCAGGCTGGTGGTGTATTATATTTACAAAGATATTATATATTATTAGGAAGATGCATTTCTCATTCATTAAAAACCCTTAAAATTTAAACAAGATGGTGCATTAATCCCTACAATGATTTTAATCCTTGTTGTAAATAAATTTTATCGTTCAATTTGACGAAAAAGCCTGACTAGCCATGTTTAATTATTAATCTAACAAAATTTTTGTATAAAATCTTTAAATAAATAAAATATATTTTCATTTAATTTTATAAATTAATTTTAAAAAAAAATATATTAATAAAGTCACAAAATATATAAAGTCACAAAATATGAAAGAGAAAATTTTTTGAAAAAAAAATGCCATGCAAGAATAGTTACAAAATTAACCGATTTACGACCGATTTTGACCGACCGGTTGACCGACTGACTTGAGACTGAACAATCATGTTTTAAATAGTAAAAAACATTTTGTATTAAAATTAACAAAATCAACATTTTATTTTAATTAGCTATAAATTAAAATTTTGAAATTTTGAAAAAAA